AAATTACAAAATTACTCCAAAAAAACAGTTTTTTACTGTAATTTACTGGGGTTTTTTACTCTGACTCAAAATTACTCGTAATTCTCGAACCCTAGCAATATCGTGTATAGGGGGGTCGTCCTTGCGCCCCATCCTATGTATAGGGGGTTGAGTCCAGCCGACCGCGAGAGCGCAAGGAGGGGTCGCGGACTGGACTGCAGCGCTTCCTCCCCCATATACCTGCCTGGCGCACCGCCAGCATTCGCAAACAAGCCCACCACGGCCCCCATAGAGGACACAATATCCGACCGACTGACCGACATTGCCGCCCTCTAGAGGCACACACGACACTAGACGCAGCCCTGCGCTCAGTCAGCCCTGGGGGGCGGCGGGTACAGGGCTGCCAGCGGCTGAGTAGGTTAAAAAAGGTGAAAAAAGTGACGTTTTTCTCGAAAAAGGTGAGAAAAAGTGAGCGTTTTCAGCGTTAATAGTGACAAAAAGTGAGAAAAAATTGGCTAATTTGCGCATTTTCACAGCAAATATTTTTCGGGGAAGTTCCCGGTTGAATTCGGGAAGTAATTTTCCGGATGCTATTTTTTGTCATATCTATGCATGTTATAACATTTGCAGCAACCGGAAAACGTACTTCCCGAATCGACCCGGGAAGTTCCCGAAAAAATATTTGCTGTGTTTATCAGGAAAAACCGTAATAAAAATTGATTGCAACACAAACGTAATGCGACAACCGACAATCAATCAACACAACAACTAAAGAACCCATTTGGCGCCCCTATACTACCCCCCCCCTCTCCCCCACTGAAATGTGCCTTAGAAAAATCAAAACGCGCCTTGGACGGCATCAGCAAAACGGTGTTTCCCGTGCAGCAAAATTATCCGATTGGATATCTCAAAGAGGAAAACCGAGTGAAAAGAGGCTGCTCTGCAAATCCAACATTAGGACTCTCCCGATGTTGCAACAGTAGGACAAAATGTCCATTTTATCTGTAATATGAATGGAAACGTCTATAATATGGACAATTTTAATTTTATTCGTATTATCAACACAGCTTGATACGTAAGTTACAGAGAAAAAATCCATTTCTCCATAAGTGACGAACTTAGCATTGTTGATAATATCGATGAAATTATCCGTATTACAGACAATTTCATCCGTATTACAGATAAATTTGATCCATATTATGCTTGTACAAAATTATCCGTAAGCGAGTCCGTCGAAATGAGAACGGTTGCAACCGTTCAAACAGTAG